GGCCTGGCCACCTTGTCACAACTCAGAACACTCGGAAACTCCAGCTCCTCAGGGAGGTCGGGAAAGGCTTCCACTGGGCCTGCATCCCAGCGGGATTTCTCTTTCTGCCCAATCCTGCTTCCTGCCCTCCTCTCCCTCACAGGTGATCCCAAGGGCACTCCTCAATAAATTTCCTGTTCACTGAACCCAGTCTCACAGTTTATTTCCTGGGGAGAATCAACCTACAAAATACAATGTATCTTTGAAGGTATAGTTATTTTTACAAAGGAAAATTAAAACAAAGAATACCTGTGGACTATGTACAACAATAACAAACTACCAGGAAGTTCCAAGGTTTAATAGATAAAGGAGTCTTGGGGTTGGCTATACTTTCACTCTTGTTTACATAAAGGCTATAATTTCACTCTTGTTTTTGATCTCTCATCATATAAACAAGTCTTCTGAAGTGATAAAATGCTGACAGGGGCTATCTTTGTTATCACTAAGCAGCAGAAAATAGCCTCTAAGAAAGAAAATGGATAAAAATAATACATGAAGTCATTTTTATGGAATTCCGATCAAAAACTGAATTACATTTTAACTCAAATATTGAATTATGAAGCAAAACATGATGTGTTAAAGATTTCTATGAAAGTATTTTTAAAAATAAATCTTGCAAAGGAAATTAAGAAAATTTCCTTTACAAGAATATTCAGAAGAAGAAAATATCTAGGAATAAATTTAACTGAGAAGGGAAAAAGACTTGTACATAGAAAGCTATAAAACACTGCTAACAGAAATTAAAGGGGACCTCAATAAACAGAAAGACATCCTGTGTTTTTGCATTGGAAAACAATATTATTAATATATCAATACCACCTAAGTGATAAACAGATACAATGCAACCCCTATCAAAATTTCAATGGTCTTTTTTGTAGAAGTGAAAAAGTTAATTCTCAAATTCACATGGAATTGCAAGTGACCTCAAATGCCCAAAACAGTGTTGAAAAATAAGAACAAAGACAGATTTCCTAATTTTAAAAAGTACTATAAAGTTACACTAGTCAAAACAGCATGGAACTGACATAGGGGTAAACATACAGGTCAATGGAACATAATTTCAAGTCTGGAAACAAACCCTTAAATTTATAGTCAGTTGATTCTGACAAAGGTGCCAAGAAAATATAATGGGGAAGGAATCATCTTTTTAAGAAATGGTACCAGGACAACTGGATAGCAACATGTAAAAGAAAGAAGTTGGACCCAACCTCACACCAGACACAAAAATTAAGTCAAATGGGTCAGAGGAATAAATGTAAGAGCCAAAACTATAAATTTTAAAAGGAAACATAGAAGTAATTCTTTGCGACCTTGGGTCAGGCTAAGCGTTCTCTGATAAATGAGGCATAAAATAAATAATTGATGAAGTCTCTGAAAAGGGCCTTGCTTCCAGAATCACAAAGAACTCTAATGGCTCCATGATAAGACAAAAAATCCAACTAAAAATAAGCAAAATATTTGAAAGCATTTTTGAAAGAAATTCTTGAAAGAAATTTGAAAGAAAGAATTTCACCAAAAAAGACTATGAATGGCTAATAAGCACATGAGAAAATGCTCAACATCATGACTCACTAGGGAAATACAAAACCACAATGAGATACCACTTCATACTAAAATGGATATAATAAAAAGACAGATAATACCAAGTATTGATGAAGATGTGAAGAAGCTAGATCTCTCATTGGTGAAGGAAAAGTAAAATGGTACAGCCACCCTGGACATTATTTTGATAGTTTCTTACAAACTTAAACATATATTTACTATATGATCCAGCAATTCCATTCCCAGGTATCTACCCAAGAGGAACGAAGACATATTTCCAACACAAACACCAGAATGTTTATAACAACATTATGAAAAATAACTAAAAAGTGGAGACAGTCCAAAAGTCTATCAACTGAAGAATGTATTGCTATAAATACGTGGACTATCCATACAATAAATACCTTTCAGCAATAAAAATGAACCACTGATACATTCTACATCATGGATGAACCTCACAAATATCATGCCAAGTAAAAGAAACTAGATGCAAAAGACCACATATCCTTCCATTTCTATGAAAAGTCCTGAAAAGGTGAATCTGTAACACATAAAGCAAATTAGTGGTTGCTTGGGGCTGGGATAAGAATTAGGGTTGTCTGAAAACAAGTATATTGCAGGGTGATGGAAATGCTCTAAAACTGGATTGTGGCGATGGCTGCACAACTCTTAAAAGCCATTGGATGTTGTGCACACAGGTAAATTTTTACAATATGTCAATTATACCTGAATAAAGAGTGAAAAAAACAAACCTGGAAGACAAGACTATGAGCATCATCTGAAAAAGAGGTGAGCATGAAAGGTGATACTATGTTTCCAAAGACCAGAAGAGCCCAGAAAGGCTGCAGGTCTGGTCCAGACTGAAGTGTACAGACTGGCTTCCCATACTTTGCATTCCTGCAATGCAACTGCTTCCAGACACAGGAGCAAATGGAAGCTATCTGTGATGGCTAATTTTATGTGTCAACTGGACCAGCCACATGGTGTTCAGATTAAACATTATTTTTGCACATGTCTGGGAGGGTGTCTCTGAATGTGATTAGCATTTGGGTCAGTGGACTCAGTCAAGTAGACTGCCCTCCCCGCTGTGGGTGGGCATTTTCCAATCTGCTGAGGCCTAACCAGGACAAAAGGCAGGAGGAGGAGGAATTCAGCCTCTTTTGCCTGCCAAACTGCTTGATCTGGGACACTCACATCATCTTCTCTGATCTACCCCCATTGGCTGCCCAGGCCTTTGGACTTAAACTGAATTACATGACTGGCTTTCCCAGGTGCCCTCATAATAGATGTCTCTATCTCCTATTAGTTCTGTTTCTCTAGAGAACCCTTACTAATACACCATCCCTCTACCATGTGAAGCTGAGTCCCATACATCATCAGGCACAATTCTAAAAACATGAAATACTCCCTGAAGACAGAGATCTCAAAGCATCTTGGTTTTCATACATTCATAAATCACTTCAAGCACCCAGCTCCAGGTTCACTGTGTGGCATTTAATCTGTACCTGACTCACAGGACTTTATAATTCACCAACCACAACTATGTTGTATCTCTCTCTGTTAAAAGCCGTCCAGTTATCACAGTCCCACAGTGTCATCAGATTCTCTCTGCAAACCTCTGGTGTCATACAAACCATACCTCTGCTTTTAGGCAGCATTACCCCCATCCATATGGAAGGGACCAGTGAACAAACTCTTCATAAAAGTCAGCTGATTTACTTTGACATTCTATTTCAGTGTTCAATCACCATTACTGTAAGATGTCCATTCTGCTGATCCCAACCTTTTTTCCATTTGCCCTAGTTCCATGCCATTTGGAGTACAAATAACTGCCTCCCAGCTTTGTGAAAAGGGGTAACCTTTGAAAAAGACCATGAACCATACCTCTTGAGGTTTGTTTCCCTTCAACTTTTCCTTTTAGGTGCTATTTTCAACCCTTCCAGTCACCTCTGATCCTTTATTTTGCTCTCCTGAATGCTCTAAAATTTCACACCCCATCAAGCATGACAACCAGGACTGGGCACCAAATTCTAAAGTAATGTCAAACATAGCAGAGACAGTTGTTGCCAAATCCTTTACAATCAGTTTATTCCTAAAAAAAAAAAACCCAGCAAAACAAACAAAAACCTAGGGAGAATGATGCTATGGTCTAATTAGAATTACCAAGAATGTGAAGGAATTCCTAGGTGTTTATAAACAAGGGAGAATGTACCAAAAGGGAGACTATATAGTGGAATGGTAACAGAATGTTGCTAAGTCTCCTGAAGAGCAAAAAGGTTTCTAGTCTCTGACACAACCACGGTCAAGATGCAGAAGAGTTGTGTTCCTTGTACCTGGCCTTAATGTAATTCTTGCTTTAAGGAATAACTGTTTCCTTGATGTTCTGTGTATTAAATCCAAGTTCTGTCTTTTCACTTGTACAACAAATATGGGACACAGACAATGAGTGTTGGAAGTTATCTATGAATGAAATGACTGAGTTCAACCTTTTCATTTTACCCATGAGGGCACTGAGGACTGGGTTCAGGGATGGAATGACTGACCAGTTATTCAGAGACAGAGCTGGGAGGCTGAGTGGGGATGAGCCAGTTGGCAGCTTGAGGGATAGGGGATTCCAGCTGTCCCCCTGAGAAATACAGCCAATAGGTACAATCCTAGCCACAGCAATCCACAAAGAAAGAGAAATAAAAGGAATTCAATTGGAAAAGAAGTAAAACTGTTACTGTTTGCAGATGACATAATACTGTATATAGAAAATCCTAAAGATGCTACCAGAAAACCACTAGAGCTCATCAATGAATCTAGTATTGTTGCAGAATACAAAATTAATATACAGAAATCTCTTGCATTCCTATACACTAACAACAAAAGATCAGAAAGACAGATTAAGGAAACTATCCCACTTAGTATCACAATAAAAAGAAGAAAATACCTAGGAAAAAATCTACCTAAGAAGGTAAAAGATCTGTACTCTAAAACCTATAAGACACTGATGAAAGAAATCAAAGATGACACAAACAGATGGAGAGAGACACCATGTTCTTGAATTGGAAGAACCAATATTGTGAAAATGACTATACTATCCAAAGCAATCTATAGATTCAATGCAATCCCTATCAAGCTACAAATGGTATTTTTTCACAGAACTAGAACAATAAATTTTACAATTTGTATGGAAGCAAAAAAGACTCCAAGCAGCCAAAACAATCTTGAGAAAGAAAAATCTAGCTGAAGGAATCAGGCTCCCTGACTTCAGATGCTAATACAAAGCTACAGTCATCAAGACAGTATGATACAGGCACACACACAAAAAGAAATGTAGATCAATGAAACAGGGTAGAAAGCCCAGAGATAAACCCAGGCAAGCATTTTACATGTTTACATTCACAAAGTTAAAAATCTGAAAATACAATACTTACTGTGTTTTTTTGAGTTACCATATCCTGTAAAGAAAAGATAGGATCAATGTAGCTTTTTTCCAGAACAGTTAATTTCCATAAGCACTTTGTCCCCATGCCATCATATGAAACCCACTTTAGAGCAAGAGTTATTCATTTCAGATCTCCCCCCCTCCCCCGTAAAAAGTTTCAAATAGAATGGAGCTCCAAGAAGTGTAAAATTTACATTCTAAGGAAAATTTACCATGATTTGTTAGCTTGGAACTCCTGGAGACATATATGGTTATAAGGATTTCCCTGTAGCAGTGGCCATACTTCTGTCCAGATATTTTGAGATTCAAGTTCGGGGCTGTGAACGCCCTGCACCTTGCCTTCTCAGGGACAGCAGCAAAGTGCATGGGTGGCCCACTGTGTCCTCGGGTCTGGAACCATTCATGTCATCAATGTGAAGGCTGCAGGTCACCCTCCCGCCCCCAGTCAAGCCTTCCGACAGAAGAGGTGTTGCTGATAGAATTCCTGACACCGCACTACAGGTATTTTATTTACATATTTTCACTATAGGAATTTTCACACTCAAATTCAATGACAATAGTTTTAGTCAGTTAACTTGGCATAATGGTTATGCAGCTCTCAACTGTGTATCATTTATATGCTGCAAGCCATTTGCTGACAAAAGAAAACATAATTAAATAGCTGTCCTGTAAAATGTGTTTTAGGTGTTCTGAGATTTCTATTTTCTGACAAGTGCAGATCACTTCTTCTGCCGTCAGATACAATGAGTACTCATTTCCATTTTAGGAAGTATTTTTCTGTATCATTAAAAATTAAAACTTATCTAGGTCATGGGACTTTCCAGAGGAGTTCACTAAGGCACAAAAGAGGAAAAAAAGGATTGAAATGGGGAAAATATGATATACTCAGATTTCATGTCATGTTTTTCATCAAAATACAGCTTAATATTATCCACTCTTTCACATTTTCTAATTCTAAATATTGCTAAGCATAACTAATTAAGTTAAAATCAGTAAAGAAATCTAAATACCTACAGTAATTTAGATTGGTTTATAGCCTTTTGGGAAACTACTTTACAATGTAAAGTATAACAACAAAACAGTTTCCTCTTCCACTGTCACACAAATGACTCTTAAAATACAGTACTGTGCTAGGATGCCAGAGGACACACCTGTGTCAGGTGTATGTGATGTATAATACATACAGGTCACACATCAGAGACAGGTAGTATTTCTACTAGGAATAATTTTAAATTATTACAGAACCCACACACATCTGGTTAATATTGGACATTAGGAAACACAAACTAAAATGCCCAATTTGCCATCAAAAAACTGTGTCATTTATATACTAGTGATTTTTAATGCTAAGTGAGTTGGACATTTAGAAATGATGTCTGTGAAGGTTAAGGCTGAACCACTGGTTCTCACTCCTGGCTGAACATTTTAGGGGTTTAAAAAAAATCCCCTAGAGACTGTGACATAATTGGTCTTGGTGTGGCCTAGGTACTGGGACATTTATTAACTCCCCAAATGATTCTGAAGTGCAGTCAAGGTTGAGTAACACTGCTGTAAACAAACTAATCTTTTATTCCTGAAATGACTTAACATAGACCAGGATTTCCTGACTGATGCTAAGATGTTAAACAATATTATTGCTCAGTTGCTAAGTCATGTCCAACTTTTCGCGATCCCATGGACTATTGCCCACCAGGCTCCTTCGTCCTCCCCTATATACTGAAGTTTGCTCACATTCATGCCCATTGAGTTGGTAATGCTATTTAACCACCTAAACAATATTAGTATTAGCTAAATTTTGTAATAACTCACATTCAATCTTCAGATTTTACAAACAGAAATCATTTTTTTAGGAAAAAAGTACCGCTATTCTAAAAAGTTTGTATCAAATTTGCAAAAATACATTAAAAAACTTCTCAATAATTACTGAGTTACCCATGAACACACAAGTTTTCAGTTTTGCTTGGCTTTAAACTGGGGAGAAAATAACAGATTAAACACTGATTACATCTGTGATCCTAAAAGTTCCTACCCATTTTGGTAAATGTTAAACATTTTCCTATTGCCATCCAAATTGAAATTTTTTAAAATATATAGGTTTGGATCAAATTGCCCAATATAGGATTCCAAAGGCTGTGTTTGCTTCAATGGAAACCATCAGGAGTTTTTGCCTTCAATTTCCTAATGAGCTTAGACACACTCAAGTTGCCTGCAAACACACATCAATAGCACATATGCTTACACAGTAGCCAGGAAGTCACCTGCATGAGCTAGAATTTGGGGTGGGGAGGATGAAATTGCACAAGCAAATCTTTATTGTTTTTCTACAACCTCTTCTGCTACATGTTCATTTCAACTGAACATACAGTATTCACAGTACCGCTTTCCCCAAATGAAGTATTTAAAAGGTAAACAATACACTTTACCTTCAAAGAAAGAGCAGTGTCAGCATCGGTGTCGTGGTACAGGATCACGTTATTGGCCATGTCAAAGCTTTCACGGACTCCAAGATGGTAGAAGAGTGAAGGCTGTCTGGAGATATCGCTCATGTCCACCACAGCAACATCTGCAATGAACAAGGAGACAAGGTTGGCAGAGAGAGAGGTGATCTACTTTCTACTTCCTGATGGTCACCAATGGTGAGCTGCTGCAATTTGTACTCTACCATTAGTCCAAAATAAGTAATGAATTGATTAAAATTACCACCACGAACTGTGGAGGCAAAGCAACAGGAATAAACACCCAAAACTGAAACCATCTTCCTTATTCAAAGTGTGGAAAATATAGTATCACTTAAAAACTGCTGGTGAATTTATTTTAAATGTTATTTCTATTAGGAAATTTATCATATTCAAAGAATATATTTAGCTTATGTGCAAAGTATTAAGTGTAATGAAATGAAAAACCATGCAACCGGCATGCAGCCCAAGACACAAAGCGTTATCTGTACTGTCAGAGCTCCATGTGCCTCCCCTAATCACATCTCTCCCTCCTGCCTGGAGAAAGTCTCTATCCTGACTGCTGTACTTTTCAGTTCTCTGCACATCCCTGTATATGCATACAATATATTATAGTTATGAATTCCTCAACAGTATATTGTTTAATTTTTGCATGTTTTTGAACTTTATATAAGTAGTATTACACCATATGTATTCTGTGACTTGCTGTACTTTGGTGTAAAACAACCAAGCTATATGTCTAGCTCTAAGTTTACAAATTTTCACTTTAGCATCTATGATAACTAGATGGCAATCTCACTATCCATCCTGTCTATAGACATTTTATTCAATGTTTCTTTTCCTATTTCCAACTGTTGTAATGACCATTCCTGCATCATGCTTCCAGTTCCCATGTTATCATCAACTGGACAACAGAGATCACATGCCCCTTGAGTTGTGAAATAGAGAGACTTCAGTAAAAACAGAGGAGCAACACAGCACATCAGTAAAGAGTAAACTATTTGGCAGAAATCAACACAATTTTGTAAAGCAATTATCCTTCAATTAAAAAATAAATTTAAAAATTTAAAAAAAGAGTAAAATTTGCCTAGCAGCATTCGTCACCATTTCAAACCTAGTCATTTTCCAGTCAGTATCAAGAGCTCCAAGTTTGACTGGACTTCCCCACTCTGTGCAGCAGAAACTTGGGGAAATAATGTCCAAACTTAGGCTTGTGCTGCTGTGACTCACAGGAAGTCACTGAAAATCCCAATGAAACAGAACAGAGGTGAGGTGAGCAGGGGCATGAAGAAACAAAAAGGTAGAGAGAAGCCACATCAGCGCCAGGTACCCCTGACTCTGGGAGATCTGAGATCGAGCATCAGTAAGCCTTGGGTGGGCCTTTTATTCTCTAAATTATGGGTTATCTGCTATATAAATGCCAGGCATTGTGTTTGGTGCCAGGGACAGAAGTGTGAACAAGGCATAATCCCTCTCCTCAAAACCATGTTTAATACAACAGGAGTGATGAGAAGGAAGCAGTGATTAGAATCAGGGTAAGGGAAGCTAAAGTGAGGGGAACAGTGATACCCCTGGGGGAACTGAACCCACACTCAGGTGGAGGGTGGCCAGGGAAGGCTGAAAGGATGCGCGCTGTCTGGGACCTGAAGGTATAGAAGAGGCAGACAAATTGGGATGAGGATGTGGGGATGGAAAGGGAAGGAAAAAGTGTCATAGGAAGAGAAGCTAGCAAGTGCAAAGGTCAGAGGTCAAGTGGGATATACATTTGGGGTCACTACAAATAATTTCATGGGCCCAGAACACCTTGAGAAGAGGAACTTGGAAAGGTTAGTAGGTGTCAGACAGGGTTTGAAGGGCATGTTAAAGAGGGCTGGACACTAGCTTGAGACAATGGGAAACCTACAGTAGGGTGTTTTTGTTTGTTATGGAAAATTACAAATATGTGTGTGTGTGTGTGTGTGTATGTAAAAGTTCAGAATAACGTAATGAAAGCCCTGTACCCCTCACCACCCTTAACAATTGTCAGTACAGCCGCCCTTATTTCATCTCAACTGCCATTCACACCACCCCTTTCAGATTATTTTGAAGCAAATCCCTCATAGCATATAATTTCATCCCCAAACACTTCAAAGTCTCGTTATTTTTTTTAAATGTCATGAAGGGCTTAAACAGGGGACCATCATATCTAAATTCACCCTCTAGAGGTTCTTGCTCAAGAAAGGACAAATGCATATGCTAAGGAAACACTTTTACAACCCAGCCTGGTTAATTTATCTCAAATGGATGTCTGCCCCCCACAGACATCTGCTCAGAGTCAAAAACCACACTGCAGTGGAATTAACTAGACATTTTGCCTATATGATTTTTCCCTGGACTCTATTACCTATTCAAATGAAAAAGAATGTGTTTCCCAGTGATGTTATTAAGAAGTGGCAACGCAGATGCTAATTCTAAGACCATGGGAAGTTCTGCAGTTAGTTAAAGGAAAGAAAGCAAACGAGAGTGGGAAGGGGCAGAGCAGAGGTGAATGAAGGACATCAGCTCCAAATCGTGCAGGTTATTTTCATAGGAAGCCTGCAACTTGGTAGAGCAGCTTGTTGCTAAGCAGGTTAAATTTGAATCTGGTGACATAAGTTCCTCTCTCCTCTTTGAGAGGAACATGCCCTGTCAATGTTCTGTACTAACACCTGCACACTGGCGTCACCATCTCCACTAGGGAGCTTGTCTGGGGCTCCACCAAGGGTTGAAATGGATACTTTTCTCAGTGTCTCGTTAAAACGGGGCAGAATGAAGCACAATGGCTACTGCGTGACTCAGGAGGGGAACACAGGACAAGGGACACATCCAGGATAGCAGGACAGCATGAGACTTTGTCATGCTACTGCAGAAAGGAAATCCTTTTCAAGAGGCATGGTTCAGCAAAGCTTTTACATAGTGAACTACTGAGGAAAAAAGGGGAGAAACAAGGACATGTTTAATGGAAAATGAACAAGACAGTTTTGTGTCATCCTTTGCAACAACACTCTAAGCATTTCCCGATCCCAGAAGTAAAGGGCTGCCTATCTGTGTACCCTGTATAAAGGGGATTATGACCAGCAAACACTGGGATAAGAGGCAGCAAGCACCCAAACTAAATGCAGCCCTTCGACTCTGGAAAAGAAGGTGGAGTAGCAGGAGTTGAGCTTACTCCTCTTGTGAAAATACCAAAATCACAACTAATTGCTGAACAAGCATCAGTGGAAAAAAACTGGAGCCTATCAAAAACCATTTTTTTTTAACATTCAAAGACAAAGAAGCAGCCACAATCAGATGGTAGGAAGGCCACTTTCACTACAATCAAATCCCATTCCCACCAGATGAGTGACCCACAGACCTGAAAGAAATCATATTGCAGAATTTCTCCTATTTGTTTGAGAGTCCCAAGTCCCACATCAGGCTCCCCAAACTGGGGTTCTGGTACTGAAAAGAGGAACCCCCAGAGGATATGACTCTGAAGGCCAGCAGGACTTGAGTGCAGAACTTCACAGGATGGGGGAAACAGACTCCACTTTTGGAGGGCACACACAAGATTTCCTACATATTGGGACCCAGGGCAAAGCAGTAACTGCATAGGACCTACCTACAAATCTTGAAGGGTCTTCTGAGGAGACTGGGTGGGGGGTGAGGGCAGGGGCAAGGACACTGATGGCAGAGGCCCCAGAGAACACTGACCAGTGTGAGCTCTCCCGGAGGTCAGCATTTTGGCAACAAGATCTGGCCTACCCAATAGACTACAAGTTCCAGTGCCGGAATGCCTCAGGGCAAACCACCAGCAGGATAGGAACACAGCCCTCCTACTCCCCACGCCCACAGCAGACAGGGTGCCTAAAGCCACACTGAGCTCACAGCCACCTCTAAACACACAACTTGACATGGCCCTGCCTACCAGAGGAACAAGACCCAGCTCCACCCACCAGTGGGAAGGCACCAGTCCCTCCTACCAGGAAGGATGCACAAGTCTCAGGACTGACCTCACCCACCAGAGGGCAGACACCAGAAGCAAGAGGAGCTACAATCCTCCAGCCTGCAGAAAGGAGACCACAAACACAGAAAGTCAGACAAAACGTGGTGGCAGAGAAACATGTTCCAGATGAAGGAACAAGATAAAAACCCACAAGAACAACTAAATGAAGTGGAGATAGGCAACCTATCTGAAAAACATTTTAGATTAATGATACTAAAGATGATCCAAGATCTCAGAAAAGAATGGAGGCACAGACTGAGAAGTTAACAAGAGATGTTTAATAAAGAGCTAGAAGATTTCAAGAACAGAGATGAACAATGCAATAACTGGAATGAAAAACACACTAGATGGAATCAACAGCAAAACAACTGAGGCAGAAGAATGAATAAGTGAGCTAAAAGACAGAATGGTGGAAATCACTGCCACAGAACAGAACAAAGAAAATATAATGGAAAAAAAGAATGAGGACAGTCTCAAAGACCTTTGGGACAATATTAACTGCACTAACATTTACATCATAGGAATCCCAGAAAGAGAAAAGATAAAGGACCTGAGAAAATATTTAAGGAGATTATAGCCAAAAACTTCCCCAACATGAAAAAGGAAACACTCAAGTCCAGCAAGTGTTGAGAGTCCTATATAAGATAAACCCAAGGAGGAACACAGCAAGACACATATTAATCGAACTGACAAAAATTAAAGACAAAGAGAAAATATTAAAAGCTACAAGTAACATGCAAGGGAATTTCCAAAAGGTTATCAGCTGATTTTTCAGCTGAAAATCTGTAGGCCCGAGGGAGTGACATGATCTATTTAAAGTAATGAAAGGGAAAAATCTATACCCAAGAATACCCAGCAAGGCTTTCATTCAGATTCAATGGAGATATCAAAAGTTTTACAGACAAGCAAAAGCTAAGAGAATTCAACACCACCAAACTAACTTTCGGAGAAGGCAATGGCGCCCCACTCCAGTATTCTTGCCTGGAAAATCCCATGGATGGAGGAGCCTAGTAGGCTGCAGTCCATGGGGTCGCTAAGAGTCGGACACGACTGAGCGACTTCACTTTCACTTTTCACTTTCATGCATTGGAGAAGGAAATGGCA